TTCAAGACGCAGCCCCATCGTGCGAAGCGCTCAGCTGTATTCTTCAGGTCAGACCGTGGCGGCCTGCGGGGCGAGGGGTTCTTGGGCAGGCACTTCCATCTGCCACGCCTGTCAAGTTCGCCCCGAGCTTACTACTGGAGTGTGTTCAGTGCGGGAGATTGAATTGAAGGCTCAGGACTTCGAGGATTGCAGTGCATCGGCAAGGCTGCAACGCTCTAGCATCGACCCTCTGTTTATTCGTATTGCATAATATTCGACTTGGGCCCGCAAGGTATACTGACAATTACCGAACACGACCGCTTCTTGTGGCGTTTCTTTATGTGACTCTTGCGCGATGCGAGCCACCTGAAGCTTCGCACTTGCTCCTGGCATTCGCCCTCATTCGCCCGTCGCAGAGGCCGTGCCACGCAGCGAAGTCTGCGAAGCCCTCAGCCGAGTTCGAGTGTCAGGCGATCGGAGATCCCCAAAAAAACCACGAGTTGGTACGGTTGATGATATAAATCCTGCATTACCCATAATAATATGATGGAATATTGCTATAACTCCCATAGTTTAGGGCCCTTAAGGTAATGCAGAATTTATATCATGAACCGTAGCACTCCAAGCCAGTTCATGGAGTGTGGCAGATGCCGGTGTGTACAGAAACAGCTTGTGCGGAATGGCCATTTTGGCATTTGGCTAGAGAAGGAATGACGAGTTGCTGAGCTGTTACAGTACAGCCTGCTGGCGATAGGAGTGTGCTCCACCCTAAACCCTAAACCCTATCAGGTCCAACTCAGAGCCTTTAATACCCTTTGATGCGCCGGTCTCTGGCACCCTGGAGCCTACCAAGCTCGCAAACAGATGACCGCAAAGACGAGCCATCCTAAAGTCCTAGAGCTTGGCATGCTTCCACCTCCTCAAACTGTGCGCCCTGCGCAGTGCTCAGTGCGACGAGGATAGGGACTTCTTCATGCTCCCGGATAGCACTGAGGCTTTGGCAGCCTGGCGCCGATGCAGCCAGACTGCCGCTGATACGAAGCCTTCGTAGACGAGGCCAGGGGCGTCTCTGGGGTCCCTGCCCCTCCTTGAAAGAAGACAGCCTGCTCATCGCACCTTCTTCATCACGTCTCTGCGGATGTTTGCTTAGATTCGTCTGCAAGGTCTGAACTCCTTCTTGCTTGTTTGTGGAGTGCTTGGGACATGGGAAGCTTTCACTCCGGCAGGCCAAAAAAAGGAGCTTATGCTTCAGAGCAGCCAATGCCTGTCGTGGTCTGAGCTGATTTCGCATTTTGATGTAAGGCTCCACCGCAAGCTGCTACGGGACTTCCTTGATTTTCTTACCCCCGCAGGGCATGTCCAGGGCATGCCCGGCCTCCCCCATGCAGCGAACCAAGTGAGAGCTCCCAGGCCTGCAGATGTGAGCGGCGTGGCGAGCAGATGGGTTGCTGTTGCTATTCAACACGAGATCTTTCTCCATGTCGTTAGCGTAATAGCTGCCAGAGATACTAGCAAGATGAAAATAGCATCAGCAACCGCTGCGGGCGCTTGGATTTCCAGAATCGCACGGAGGCAGGGAGGTTTTGGTGCTTTTGCCGTCTGCGACGTGAGATGTCTGCTTCTGTCCCGAGCTGCTTCCTGCAGAGCTGCGTGGGGGAATGATCTGAAACATGCCGAAACTGTGATTGGGGGTGCAGGCTTCTGCTGCCAAACATTCGCCTACACGCCACTTCAGCAGTTGGCCAGCGTGCCCTGCGCTGAGTCGCGCATGGGTCAGCTTGAGGGGAACACAGGACTGTCATTGGCAGGGCTTGAACCATTGAGAGCTCGGCTTCAGACACGAATCGTGACAATCCCGAGTAGCTCCTGGGCTGCAGGACCCGCACCGCGGCGCAGAGCTTCCACCGCCGATGCGATGCTGATACTATTTCAACAATCTATGCTGTACAAAAGCATCATATAGTACTTGAGACGGCATAGGTTCCAGACACCATCGCATAATTACAACTTACAACCAAGAAGCTCAGGCAGTTTGTGACATAGTTAAGTGCAGCTAGCCATTGATAGTGTCAGCAGCCCGGCCGGCATTCCGCGACGGCATGCTTCAGCTTGGCGTGGAGCCCTGCAGGCCGGGAGTGTGGCTTGTGACAGCGTCCGCCAAACGAGTGAAGCCGAGCCGCTCGGCTTTGCAGAGGCTGCATTTCAAGACGCAGCCCCACCGTGCGAAGCGCTCAGCTGTGTTCTTCAGGTCAGACCGTGGCGGCCTCGTCGTGTGTGCACACCAATCTAGGGCCTAGGGTCGAGCTCTGCTCATGGATCCTATAAATGGAAGCACTTGCTCCGACATGCTCTGCAGCTTGCAAGCTCTTTCTGGACCCATAGGTGTGCCTGCTTTGTAGCACACTGAAGCATCGATGGCTTGTGGAGGAATGCAGCAAAGGCACGGCAGAGGCTGCCACCGATGATGCACGGATTGAGTGGCTTGCGGAACCACCCACGCCACAACTACAGCGTGCATAGCGGGCGCAGGTTACCACCAGCATGCCACATGTCATGCTGTCAGCTGAATGAGCGGGAGCTTGTCCTCCCGATGATTAGGAGATCGTAGCAGGATTCGTTTATTGTGCACACGCTTGCCAGGCTTGGGATATTTTGGGAGCGAGTTGCAAGAGGCAAGTAGCCAGTTCCTGGCAGCATGCAGAAAGGGCACAAGTCAAACTCATGATCCCGGACACGGGGCGAGATACAGAAGGCAACGAGATGTATCTAGCTCTGTGTTGATTCCTCCCGAGTGTAAAGAGACTCCATCGGCTTCATGCTGCCTCTCTTTCTTGTGCGTATTGGCGAGGAGGCAGGGCTTTAGAGCTTCAAGGTGCAGCGAGGCCTTCCTTGCGCATTGCCTACCATCAGAAGTTAGCTGGTTCTTCAGATCATTCAAGAGAATCGCACGCGCGTGCCTCAACTACATGCAGCGCCGTGCAGACTACCACAAAAAACATGGAGGCTGGCGACCCACTGCTCGTAGCTGAATGGGCCTTACCTCGTGTGCCGCTTGTCGACGCTTGCTGATGGCCATACCGGGCATCACCTTCACATAAGAGGCTGGGTTGTGCTTTGGGATGATTTTTTAATTTCCCGTATTTCCTTATAAAGGGAACCTACTCATAAACACTTTTCAAAGGGTTTAAAGCACAACCCAGGAGGGGCTGGCCGCTCAACAGCTGAAGGTTTCTTTACTATGCATTGGACTGTCTTTCTCTTGGAGTTTGTCCACACACTGTTTAGAGATCATGCCAGGATTCGGATATTTGTGCGCACACTGTCTTTAAAGATGCAAGTACTTTCTGTTTCCATGCTTGGGATATTTTGGGAGCGAGTTGCAAGAGGCAAGTAGCCAATTCCTGGCAGCATGCAGAAAGGGGACAAGTTGTCCTTGGATCGTTCTTGCCAGATCGAGCTAATTCATCCTATTCCCGGACTTGGGGCGAGATGCAAAAGGCGGTGAGATGCATCGAGCTCTGATTTGATTCCCCCAGAGTCAAGAAAGAGACTCATGCTGTTGTTAGTAGATGAGCGAGGCAGCGTTGCTGTGCAGAATCGAAAAGAGTAGGTTGGGAGGCTTTCTGCATGGCCTGAAGCTTAAAGCATTCGCACGCGCTTGTCCTGAGGCCATTTTGGCAGCCGCCCGGCTTTTCAGCGCAGTCTGCAAAGTAGCTGCGCGTGGGAAGTGAAGCTGAATCGTTTCACCGAGCTCCTTGGATTGGCAGTCGTTTCTCGGCCTCATTCGATTTCTCCCTTTCTTGGGCCTCGCCTTCCTTTAACCCGTGTGCTTCTTGTTGCCGAGTCGCGGGTGCCAAACCAAGAACCTCCACGCACCTCGCTCAGAGCCGCAGCGACCGTGTAAAAAAGCAGACCATGGCAAGTAGATGAGACAAGGCTCCGCAGTGCTCCGCCGTAAATTGCCGACTGAGTCTTACGATGATCGAGGGCAAGTACTTGGAATTCCTCAAATCAGCGGATCCGTTCCGCCGGGTGTCGAGGGACAGCTCTCGCACGCTGCAGCCGAGGAAGCTCGAATTGGAGGGCTGAAGCCAAGGAACTCCACAGAACCTTCAGCATTCTGAGAACTGCATAATATCGAGTGAACCCACGTAGAACCCTAGACCCAGAAACCCTGAACCCAGAAACCCTGAACCCAGAAACCCTGAACCTTAAACCCAGAAACCCTAAACCAGAAAGCCTAAACCCTAAACCGCGATGAGATTTATCTTTGACCTCTGTCGCTCCCTGCACGGGGATTGCCGGCCTTCCAGGCGGGACCCTCGGGTGCCGTCAGCTCTGGAGACCGATTGGGAAGCCTACTCTAGGGCCCTAAATAATTGCCAATACTGTTTTGGGGGTTCCTTTTCATAGTTATAGTATGATATGCGATATACCCCGAAACCCACTTCTAATTATTAAGGCCCCTCTATTATACCCTTATCGTATATAGCCCTTTATATAGAGCCCTTTGAAAGGAATCTGTCAGAACCCTACTCTACCTATCAAGGCCCCCATAGTACAGGGGTGTGGGAGGGCACTCCAGGGTCGAAGTCTACTCTTCGAGCTTTGGCGAGGTGTCAAGTTCTGCTGGGTGGAAGCCAAACTGTGGACCGTACAGATGATTACGTAGTGTTTGGGGTTTAGCCACACTGTGATGAAGCACGGGCTCAGGGTTACGATAGGGACCGGAAGAAGCATTGGGGCAGAATATCACGAATTATATGTCTTCTGTACTTCAGTTCGGCAGAGCCCTAGCTCGACCAAGTCAGAATGTAGGCTAGGCCATGTGTCGTAAACCCACCCCACATATCCGGACGCGGGGCTTATAGGCAACGGATAATGGGAACACAACTTAATACAACAAAGATGCGAGACGACGCCAAGAGGCTTTGTCAAAGCACTGCGTTGCATGGAGGCTTGCGACTTTATCCACCAAACCGCCCCCGGCAGCCCAGCCCTCTTGCTTGAAGCACCCCGCCATGCCGAAGATTCCTCGGGCAACTGTTCGGACGAGTTTTCTGGCCTGGGCTGCCATCACTTTGGCGTTTGCATGGACAGGCAGCCCTTTACCTTGGCGCATTCTTCCAGGCCATGTCAGGTTGCTAATTCATTCTGTCATGTCGGATGTATTCAGGGCAATTCAGGGCACCACACCCGAAGCCCAACGCTGTCGTAGTGTGCACCGCCAGGCCATGTTCATGGAGACTCCGAGCCTGCTCCGGTGGAGTTCTCTCGGAACAGGGATAATCCCTTCATAGATGCCGTGGCGGGCACCATCTGTGCTGGCATCGCTTTTACCCTTCTGTGGTTAAATGAAGGCCATGCGGTTAGGATCGAGCAGCTGCTTGATTTGGTGCGCCGCCGCGTCATCGAGATCGGGCCTACTGCTGTCCCCGGAAACCAGAGGCAGCTGGTATATCTGCAGGGGGACGCGACATCAGCAGACCAGTTGGTGCTGTCAGAATGGGCAAACATCTCCGCTCCTGCCAACTCCGCCAAGCTCAGGGCGCAACTGGGAGTTCTGAAGTGGTGTTGGGTTCACTTAGAACTCTCTTTAAAGATCTCCTTAGGCATCCTTTTGTGGGGTGTTACCTTTGGTGCTACTCGAAGTAGGAGCAACGCAAGTCGCGACGTTTTGGTGTGTTGAGCCAGTGAGGCAAGCCTTCATGTACCAATGGGAGCAGGAGAAGGACGACCAGAGTGTGAAGTACAAGAAAGTTTGGAAGAACCACCGGATCAACTCGGACCGGTTTCAATATTCTGGACATCACAACCCAGTTTTCCCAGTGGCTCCGACTTGCATGAAGTTGGCCAAGGTGGCCGTGGGAGACTTTGTCCTGTCCAAGAAGATGTTGCTTGGCTCTATAGGTGTTTACGGTTTCGGGGTTTTAGGGCTGTAGGGTTTAGGGGTTTAGGGGTGTAGGGTTTATGGGTTCTATATAGGGGTTTGCGGGTGTAGGGTTTAGGGCCGAGTTTAGGGTTTAGGCCAGTTTAGCCCTATAGAGCTTCCAAAAACCCGAAATTGCCCTAGACAGCCCTAAGCTCTCCAAATATGCCCGATGCCCAACACCTTGAAGGCCTTAAAGGTTTTAGGCCATGGTCACGCAACGACGCCGCATTACGTAACGTTCTCTCCGGCACGGCCGGTGCAGCAAAGCATACAAGCCTAAATCTGCTTCTCCTTTGGACTTAGTCTGAATGTTCGCATCTGCTGTGACCCCACGGGATTCTCAAGCTAATTGCAAACACTCCGCCTCGGCGCGAAAGAAATGATTGCAGAGGGCCGACCAATCAATGGCCTAGCCGTGTCTTTATGGTGCCATTGGCGCAGCAGGGTGGAGGGGCGGTGGAGGGAGCAGGGCAATCTCTTGCCCACACTCCCTAAGCGTATACACCCCAAACCTTCATATAGAGGCTTAAATCATCACTTCTACTATTTTGGGGTTCCTTGTATTATGATTGTAGTATGAGAGGCCCAAAACCCTATTCTACCTATTGAGGCCGCTAAGTTACACCCTGACCTTGGAGCCGGTCAACGGGTCCCGCAGGGAGGAGCGGAGTCTTTGTGGGAAGCTCTGACAGGTTCGGCCGGGGCCGACGCGAATTCTGCCAGTGTGGGTGCATCCCTTGCCGAAGAGTCTACTTCAGCTTGCATCACTCTGTTGTTCAGTGCGAAAACGCCAAGGTTTTGAACGAAAACAGGGCCTCAGGGATTCGGTGATGCCGTTCCCAGGGTTCCTGAACGGGCCCACAGTCTAGAAACCCCCCCAACCTTGGCCCGAGTCCTAGCGGCCTAGCGTAAGGGCTTCTGAAGAGTGGAAGGCTGAGGGATCCTCTCATCTTTGTTCACTACAAGCTTCTATAATTCTTGGAGGGTGTAAGGCCGCGGGATCCGCTCCATGCCTTGTTCAAGGCTGGGAAAGCTCCAGAACTACAAGCCCTGCGAAATCAGCAATGCGGCCATTCAAGCGATCAACGCCAACCCGCGGATGAGTCGCTACGGAGTTGGAGCCTGGGCTTGCACGGTTTAGGGTTTAGGGTTTAGGGTTTCAGGAGGGAGGATTTGGGGGTTTGAGGGTTTCGGGAGCTTGGCGTTCTTGGGGATGTGCGGCTACTTGGGGTTGATGGTCCTGGGCTTTATTGGGGTTTAGGCTTGAGGCTTTAGTAAGGATTTCGGTTCTCTCAGGGTTTCGGGCTCAGGGATCTTGGTTCAGGACTTTGGACTCCCAAGGCACGTGCTATCGCTTTAGGAACAAGGCAACTTCGGACTCGAATCCAGACGGGTGAGCAGGCAAAAGCGAGAAAGCCCAGTCCCAGATTTCTCAAACCTAAAGCCTACGTAACGCAAGCCTTGAACAGCCCTAATGCTAGCCTGTCACCTCGTCTCAGAACCGCGGCAGTTCCTGCAGGTCCTGACGAGGAAGCTCCTTGTAATCAGGACCCCTGAAAGAGATACTCTGCACCGATTCTGCTTAAAACATCCCCCACAACCTATCAACCCCTGCAGACCCCACATCACCTCATAAATCCTTATGAAGCCTTGCAGCCACTCATACAAAACCTCACAACAAAAGCGACCCTGCAACAGTCTGCAATCCCGAGGACAGCTCCAGGATTTCTCCCCCTCCTGGTTTCAGTCGCAGAAGCCGGCAGTCTTCTTCCCCATTGACGCCGCGAACTCCCTCGCGAACCCAGGGACCCCCGGTTTATCGAGGGCTGAAAAACAAAAGGAGGCCAGTAGGTGAGGGTTTTGGGGTTTGGGTATGCAGGTTTGAGTCCTGAGTGTATATGTCCTGTCATAGTCTCTATTTATTCACACCGGAAGGTAAGCCGGAACCCTGTTCTAATTAATTAATCAGGCCCTTACACTATCCTATCAGTATACGGTGTAAGATCGCGCGTTTTGAAGTCTCCATTTTTGGAGACTTTAAAGTCTGGTGCCCTGAATGTAGGGCTCTGGCGTTTGGGGTTTAGTGTTAGTGAAGGTTGTTTTGGTGTCTTGGCGTCGGGAACTGGGGGTATACCGACCAACGAAATCAAGCAAGCAAACACACAGACGACAGATAAGCAGACAACCACACAAACAAGCAGGTGCTCAAGCAAGCAAACAAACGAATGAACAAACGAACAATCGAACGACCACACCTCAACCCTAAACCCCCAAAGCCTAAAGCTTTCAAGCCTTGCCTAAACCCCTACGAGCCTCAAAGGATTGGCGACCTGATTCTCATCTTCGAGTACGTGCCCTGCGGGCCTGTGAGCCTCCTGGGGGTGCAGGCTTGGCCGGCTCGGGTTTTCAAGGCTTTTTCTTGACGGTTTCGGAGGAAGTTCAGGGGGGTTCCGGGGCCTTGCTTTAAAGGGTTGCGGGGCCTTAGTTTAAGGGCCCCCAAGGTTCACGGGACTCACAAGGACCGTTAATGCCAAAAAGCCTTTTCATGCGTCACATTCCCCACAACAGCCCGAAATCCTGCGCCCTAGACCCTACCGCCCCCACCTCTCTTCGGATCTTACCCCCTGCAGAGCAAGGTGCCCTTCGAAGCCGTGCATGCGGGTCAGATCTTGGTCCCCGGCATCCGATGCCACGTCTCCGGGAAGGCGGCCGAGATCTGCGAGGTGACGCCTCCGCCCAGGCCGATCAAGGCGGCTCCTGAAAGGGGGGTCCTCTACCTTGGAGGTTCAGGGGTAGTCGTAAGTTATAAGCGAGGTTATAAGCCTCCTCGTATATGGGTTATAAGCATAGTATAGTACAGTTATCCTACCTATAACCCCACTTGTAACTACTCATGAACCTCCACGTATCCTAAACCCGATACCCTAATCCGTACCTTAAACTGGAAGGGCTCCTTGAAGGGGCTCTTGCCTTCGAATCACCAGAGCCCATCCTGGTATGAGGGCTTGGGGAGTTCAGGGTCGTTTAGGGTTTAGGGTTCTTTTAGGGCTTTGGGGAGTTCAGGACCCCTAAGTACCCTTTCTTTAGAGCCGCTGTGGTCTTAGTGGGTACTTAACGTAAATTAGAGGGTAGTTGGGCTCCAGAACACCCCAAGTATCCTTGTTTAGAGCTGTTATGGTCCTGAATAGTGGGTACTGGGTCGCTGGGTACATAAGGTAAATTAGAGTTGAGGGGTCCAGGCTTAGAGGGACCTTGAAGCTTAGGGCCTTGAGGGTACGTAGGGGCCTGAGGTAGTAGGTTGTAGGCTTTTGTGGCTTTAGTGTTCAGGTTTAGGGGTTTATGGCTTACGGTTTAAGGTGGGGATTGGGGTTTCGGAGAACACAGCCCAAAACATCAACACCCTAGGGACCCCCCGAAAAACTCAAACCCCAAAGCCCGAAGACCCTTAGAGCAACCTGGTTGTACCCTTACAGTACCGCAAAAAGGACTAGCCTTACACGACTGTACCCGTTATTATTATAGCCTTACACTATCCCTCATTGTGCTAGCCTTACACTATCCCTTATTGTTATAGCACCCTCCATCCCTAAACCCTAAACCCAGTGAAGCCTAGTTAGGAGCCGACTCGGGCACGCGCACAAAGAAGGCCGTCAACCTAACTTTTAAAAGAAAGAAACCCTAAACCCTAGAGTAATGCCCAAAAACTGGAAAGTGTGCAGCCGGAGGTCCACTTCACCGAGCGAGCAATGGGAGCAGACACCGTGGCTCAGTGCACTTTCAGGGCTTAGCTGCAAAAAATAATTACCTATACTACTGTTGATGATATAAAACCTGCATTACCTTAAGGACCCTAAACTATGGGAATCATGGTGTATTCCTTATTATGGGAAATGCAGGATTTATATCACCAACCGTATTTTGGTGGTCCCTGATTATAAGTAGAATAATGGGCCCCAAAACCCAATTCTCATTCTTACGGCACCGTTTTAGTGGCTGAGGGCTTGGAGTTTGGGGGCTTCTTTTACTGGGGTTCCGTAGGGTCCTAACTTGAGGGGTTTGGGATTTCAGGTGTTCCGGTCGGGTTTCAGAAGGTCAGGGTCTGAGGTTGTCGGAGATCGAACTTTAAGTTGCAGCGGTTTGGGACTTACGCCGGCTTTGGCGCCGGAGGAGTGTCGAAGGCTTCAGAGCTTCGCAGTATGCGAAGGGTTCGGGGTTTACAGTGCAGGGCTGAGGGCAAGTGTTACCACACCCTTGCGGGTCAGGGCTTAGGGCTGTTAGTGTTGAGTGTGCAGGGTGGCTTTGCGACTTTTCCCACTGTGGGTGCTGTTGGCCGACGTCGTGTGAGCAAAACGTGTGTAAGCCCCTAACTCTCAACAGGAAGCCTCACAATGTCGCAAGCCTCAAATATTCAGCCCAAAACTTGATCCAACCCAAAACCCACAGCTTCAAACTGCCTCAAACCTGTGGGTTGCTTGTGTTAGTGACGAAGGATTTCTTCGAAGTCAGCGATGTGCAGTGCACCGATGCCCCGGATCCCTGGGAAGTGGGGCCCAACCATTGGACCTTCGTTCCACTGCGACTGTGAGAGGTTTACGGCGTTTTCAGTTTTCAGCGTTTGGTTTCGGAGCAGAGTTGAACTAAAGGGTCAGGGAGTTTCTCGCGCTTTCGGGCGGACGCCTTGGACTTCCGGGACGCGGCGTCTTTGGCGACGGTCGCTGCGAAGCCGCCGGGGGTGGACACGGTGCTGATTTCCGGGCAGCTCTACGAGGGAGCCCTCAGCATTCCTCTGCTGCATGCTCTGCAGACGCTCTGCTCCCGGAAGCTCTGCACGGTCCTCATGGAGCCTGGGCCTGAAATCCCTAAGCCCCAAGCCCTCAACTGAAGCAAACCCTGAAGGAAAGAGCCGAGATGCTAGGGATCAGGAGCCCAAAGCTGAGCCTTAATTGCATTTTGCAGAAGTCCGAAAATGGCGTGGGGTAAGCAAACTGAACCCAACAACCGGAGGTATTCTGGATCTCGATTGAGTTCTCACAGACGCAGATCGCGTTCTTGGAACGAATGAGCCAAGTGGGCTTCAAGGTAGTGGACGACTTCGCTTGCCGCGAGCGCGGCTATGCGAACCCGGGCTCAATGTACGAATGCTACAGGTTCGAGAAAGCGCCTCCTCTCTCAGGCTATGGCTAGTGTGGGCATGTATGAAATCACTTATGAGTACAATTACACCCGCGGCCAGTCCTAAGGCGGTTGCTCTGTAGTAAGTGCAGTGCCAGTGCCTGTTATGTCGTTGAGATGATCATCGTTGGAGTTAGCCTGGCCTGTACAATGCATCATTCGAGGCTAAACCCATCTAAACCCTAAGCCCCAAACCCCTAAACCCCTAAACCTAAACCTTAAACCATAGGCCCTACCCGAAGCCAACACCGGAAACCCGAACCCAAGGCCCGGAACACTCAACGCTTGGACCTGAAACCCAAAACCCTTGCAGTGACCTTGTCATTGTTGGTACACCAGTCTCCCATGTCCCTGCTTCTTGCACAGCCACCCGTACCTGCTGATGCGAGAGCTCAGGTCGTACAGGGTTTTTAGGGATCTAGGATGATCTAGGGCTTACGTTTAGACAGTAGACTTAGGACTTCGGGGCCTGTAGGGTTTGAGGAATCTGGGTGAAAGGGCCATTTGTTTACGGAGAAAGCCCATAGTATAGGCTGAGCCTCAAGCCCCGGATTCCAAGACTCCAAAAGCCGAAGCCTTAAGCTTTCGGAATTTGAGGGTCGGGCTTCAGGAGTTTTAGGGTTGTGGGTTTAGGGCACAAGTCCTGATGCAAAAAGGGCTTCGGGAGTTTAGGGTTTGCGTGAGAGAATGCTTTTGCTTGAGGCCGTAGTTTGCCTGAAGCCAGTTTGCCTGCTCCATGGTACCAGCGAGGAGACGATGTGCCACCCCAAGTCGGTTTAGGGTTTAGTTTCGCATCCGAACTCATCAGAAATTGGGACTTGTTCCATCCAGCAGTCCATGGAGCTTTCCTGTCCGAGGCATAAGAGGAACGCGTGACGGTAGGTTTTCGGGATTTTGGGCAGCAGGCACGAACCGGTTTCGGAGTCTCTGTGTGCCGTGTCGGGTGTTGGAAGATCTTCGGAGAGATCCGCCCCTTCACAGTTGTTGGAATCCTCAGCTCGACCGAAACCAAACCACTCTCGGTGCATTTGAGAAACCAGCAATGGTACGATTCCGACGTATCTGGGCCAGTGATGTCATGTAACTTACTCTTGGGTACTGCCCCCGACATAGTAACAGTTGGAGAATCTTCAGAGTACACATGTATATATATATATATATATATATGGTTATATATTAGGACCTTAATAGTAGCCCTATTATAGAGGCCAGTGCCCAACATGTAACTAGTCGTACTTACCAAGATGCGAACTTCCCAAAAAGAGGAGCGAAGCGGAGGGGGGGGGGGGGGGCGACCTTTTAGCCCCCAAGGCGCTTCATGGCTGGCGGCCGCGACGGGGGAAGGCTGCAATCGGAGCCTTGGCCGAAGGCTGTCGTTGGCTTACCTTTGGTGAGTCGGGAAAGGAGGAATGGGGTACAATTATAACTGCTAATACTACCATTCCTCCATTCCCTACTAACCAAAGGTAAGTTTTTTGGGGGTCCATGCGGCCCAGCCGCCGAGTTTTGCAGAGTGACACGGAAAGCTGCGCGCCGGCATCACTTCAGGACGCTGAGCCGTCGAGGCGCGGGGGGGTTCGCCTTGCGCTGACTGCGGGCGGCCTCAGGACGAAAAGTTGGTCAGCTCAGGAGTGCTCGCAGGATCCGCGTGTCTCTAGTAGAGAAGCGGTGTCCTTGCTTTGAAGCTGCTGTTCTTCACGGTGTGCCTTTGCCATATATCATGTGACCGGCAGTTTCGTGTGCATCCAGCGCATGCCTGAGCTTTGAGCTTTTGACCCAAAGTCCGAAGACACTTTACGGGGATTCCCAAGGTCCGCCTTGCCGTCGGAGTGATGGGGTTCCTCCCGTGCTCTTCATCATCTTCAGCTGTTGCTTCTTTATGATGAGCACGAGAATGATTGACGATGATGATGATGATAATGACGATAATGACGACGATGATGACGCTGTTGTTGTTGTTGTTGTTGTTGTTGTTGTTGCTGTTGTTGATGATGATGTTGACGACCATGATGTTGGTTGTGGTGGTGATGATGACGATGATGACGGTGATGGTGAGGTGTTCGTCATGATGATGGTGGTTGTGACGTTTTGTTGCCTGTTTCGAGGAGAATCGTCTTGTCATGGCAAGCAACGCTGTTATGCCCCACTGCAGCCATTGGCCCCAAGCGCAGTGCGGGAGCAACATGCGTCCAACAGGGGGACTTGAGATCCCTACCAAACCCAAAGCAAACATCAGCTGTGCGACGTCGAAATATCACAGCACCTAACTCAAAGCAAGCAGGTTTTTTGTTTTGCGGCCATTTCAATCTCGGATTCCGATCCAAAGAACCTCCTCACCACCCAGCAGCAGTAATCATGATTCCTGTGTGAAAAGCCCTGACACTGAAGCTGGAGCAAGTTAAGAGCTTCTTTTTTGGACGTGCTCGGCCTCTGTGGATATCCTGTGAGTTCCCCTCTGCGCTCCTGCAATGCCAGGCCCCGGCTGTCTATGAGAGCCTCGAAAGCCCGAAAGCCCAAAGCAGCCCCGGCCCCACCGCGACTTCCCGTGCCCCGCGACTCGCCGCGTTTTGAGAGGACCGATGGCCATCTCCCGGGCGCTGGGCCTCTTTGCGACGCTCACGCTCATTTTGTTTCACCGTGCATGGCCCCTGGGCCGAAATCAGTGGATGGACTTCGCGCTTTTGCGTTTGGGGCCCTTCCGTTTCGGGGGGGTTCTGGCCCTGAAGCCCGGCTGTTCTGTCTTGCGAGTTGGGGCCCACATGGCTTCACAACCTGAGAGTCCTGCAGACCCGTCGGCAATCAGAGCCTCCGCTCCCGAAGAGCCCAACCCCTCCCGTAGTCCCGAACAGCTTTGCACTCGTTCCGTGCGTCGATGAGCTTTCGTCATGTCTGTGCGAAGACCTGCCGCGAGACGGAGGTTCCCAGAGCCGCAGCCGGGAAGGCGGCTCCTCCACGGAGGCTCCGAAACCTTCCTGGAGTCTCTCAGAAGTGCCTCGGCGGGGGACGGGAAGACCGGAATTCGGAGTGGGCACGGCGCGAGATTTTTCGGGGGGGTGTTCCGGCATGAGGGCTTCGCAGAGGCTACCCTGGCGACCTGTGAGCTCACGGGAAGGCTTTTGGGGACGCCAAAGCGTTGGCAGGGCCAGGTCTCTGTCAGATACAGGACGTGGCGGACTTGAAGGTTCAATACCAGATCCCCCTGTAGAACCCCTAAACCATCCTAAACCCTAAACCCTATAACCCGAACGCTGGTGCTGCCACCCGTCGCCGGCCGGGGCCGTTGGGATGGCCATCTCTGCTCTGACTGCGCACCCAGGTAACTGGGACGCGACGCTTGAAGACACCTCGGAGCAGTTGAGGCCATGCCTCTACGCTGACACCTGGCTCGCAGTTTACCTTATTTCTCTTACACGACATGACTGTGTTTTTGTCTTCAGTTTGCCATCTTGAGCGGACGGAGAGGCCCTCTGCGCCGCAGAGTCCCCCACAACAAAAATATTGGGGATCCCCCGCAAAGCTTGCAAGGAAGTGGAGCATCACCTCGGCGCGCTGGGCTCCTGGGTCTCCTCCGCAGCTGCCAACGCCTCCGACAAGTTCAGGCCGGGCCTCGGAGCGATGGATTTCAGGGGAAGCGATGAACTGCGAGTTGCGGGACCTGCCCTCCGAGCCTTGATCCGTACGGCCGGTTCGGACCCCCAAGAGGTCGAAATTACCATGGTTTAAGTTTTAGGAGCTCCTTCTGCCGTATGCAATTGGTGACACACTCAAAAAATCGACCGGATGCGGTTCAGGTGGGCCTTCCTGGTGCAGCCTTGGGTCGGCGCGGCCGGCCTCGCGTGTGCCGTGCTGCTCGCCGCCGCCGCATACGCATTGTACGTGCACATGGGCATGAAGCACATCACAGATAGAGGCTACCGTTTGCTGGGTGTAGTTGAAAGGGAGAGTCAGGAAAGGCTGCAAGCGCAATTTCGCATCGCCGCTTCTCTAGCGCTTTCCGTCGCTGACATTGTGTCGGACATCTACGTCGCCACGACATACTTTCGAAGCGGCCTGATAGCTTTCGGAAGCCTGCTAGTAGCCATCACGCTGGGTTCTGGGGTCGTGGGGTTCGTGCTGCACCGGGCGAGTTGGGAGCGGGCAGACGAAGACAAGAACATAGATTTTTGGGCCCAGGGTCTGAACGAGCAGGGGGAGCGCCAGCCCGGGGTTAAGGATTTGGTCTTGTACGTGCTGCAGATAAAGCCCCTTCTTGTCGCGTACGAGTCCTTCCAGTTAGGGTCCGAAACCGTAGTGCTGGTGAGGGAGAAGGTTCTGGCGCAGTTGAGCGAAAGTGTTCCGAGCGCACTGCTACAGGCATATGCGCTCGCAGTTGCAGGTGCGCCGCGAGAAGGAAGCGTGTTTGTTCTGGTCCTGTCGCTAGGCCTGTCGTTAGGATCAATGGCCGATGCCACGAACAAGGGCTACCGGCGGCTTTGCGCACCGGCCATCGAGCCTTGGATGAACCTTCCTAGCGAGGCGAGGTCTCGAGGCCGACTTGAGCATCAAAGCAGAGCGCTGGTCTCACTAATCCTGGTTTTGCCATCGCCGTGAAACGTTGTGCTTCCATTCAGCTGAATGAAGTAAGGATCCGGGCGTTTTGCCGGAAGCCGGCTTGCTGGCCTGGCGCTGCGCCGACGTCGGCGGACGCATCTGTGGCTGGGCCCTCCTGGGCATGGCCCTTCGTCCGGTGGACGCCTCCAGGAGCCCTGGTTCGACTCGAACCCTTCTCCAGGAGGATTTAATATAGCTGTGGTGGTGAGCTTGCGAATTGTCACCTCAGGCGTGGCGTCCAGCAGCCCTGGTTGCCCGCTTGGATTCTGGTGGACATCGCGGTGTCGGCGGCGATCCACAAGTTGGTCCTCCAGAAGCCCTGGGAAAGTCTCAAGCGACCCCAGGACATGCTGGAGCTGCTGCTCAGCGCCGTCACGATCCCTTGGGGTTGCTTGCAGTACCTTGGATGCAGAGGTCGTATG